AAAATCATACATCCATGAATTGTAATTAACGCTCTCAGCATTATACATCCATGAATTGCGATAACGGTCTGAGTAACACACATCCATGAATTGTGTTAACTGTCTGAGTATCATACATCTATGAATTGTATTAACGGTCTGAGTATCATACATCCATGAATTGTATTAACGGTCTGAAAATCATACATCCATGAATTGTAATTAACGCTCTCAGCATTATACATCCATGAATTGTATTAACGGTCTGAAAATCATACATCCATGAATTGTAATTAACGCTCTCAGCATTATACATCCATGAATTGCGATAACGGTCTGAGTAACACACATCCATGAATTGTGTTAACTGTCTGAGTATCATGCATCTATGAATTGTATTAACGGTCTGAGTATCATACATCCATGAATTGTATTAACGGTCTGAAAATCATACATCCATGAATTGTAATTAACGCTCTCAGCATTATACATCCATGAATTGTGTTAACTGTCTGAGTATCATACATCCATGAATTGTATTAACGGTCTGAAAATCATACATCCATGAATTGTATTAACGGTCTGAAAATCATACATCCATGAATTGTAATTAACGCTCTCAGCATTATACATCCATGAATTGCGATAACGGTCTGAGTAACACACATCCATGAATTGTGTTAACGGTCTGAGTATCATACATCCATGAATTGTATTAACGGTCTGAAAATCATACATCCATGAATTGTAATTAACGCTCTCAGCATTATACATCCATGAATTGTAATAACGGTCTGGAGTAACACACATCCATGAATTGTGTTAACGGTCTGAGTAACACACATCCATGAATTGTGTTAACGGTCTGAGTATCATACATCCATGAATTGTATTAACGGTCTGAGAATCATACATCCATGAATTGTAATTAACGCTCTCAGCATTATACATCCATGAATTGTGATAACGTCTGAGTATCATACATCCATGAATTGTGATTAACGCTCTCAGCATTATACATCCATGAATTGCGATAACGGTCTGAGTAACACACATCCATGAATTGTGTTAACGGTCTGAGTATCATACATCCATGAATTGTATTAACGGTCTGAGTATCATACATCCATGAATTGTATTAACGGTCTGAAAATCATACATCCATGAATTGTAATTAACGCTCTCAGCATTATACATCCATGAATTGTGTTAACGGTCTGAGTATCATACATCCATGAATTGTATTAACGGTCTGAAAATCATACATCCATGAATTGTATTAACGGTCTGAAAATCATACATCCATGAATTGTAATTAACGCTCTCAGCATTATACATCCATGAATTGTATTAACGCTCTCAGCATTATACATCCATGAATTGTGTTAACGGTCTGAGTAACACACATCCATGAATTGTGTTAACGGTCTGAGTATCATACATCTATGAATTGTATTAACGGTCTGAGAATCATACATCCATGAATTGTAATTAACGCTCTCAGCATTATACATCCATGAATTGTGATAACGTCTGAGTATCATACATCCATGAATTGTGATTAACGCTATCAGCATACATCCATGAATTGCGATAACGGTCTGAGTAACATACATCCATGAATTGTGTTAACGGTCTGAGAATCATACATCCATGAATTGTATTAACGGTCTGAAAATCATACATCCATGAATTGTAATTAACGCTCTCAGCATTATACATCCATGAATTGCGATAACGGTCTGAGTAACACATCCATGAATTGTGTTAACGGTCTGAGTATCATACATCCATGAATTGTATTAACGGTCTGAGTATCATACATCCATGAATTGTATTAACGGTCTGAAAATCATACATCCATGAATTGTAATTAACGCTCTCAGCATTATACATCCATGAATTGTGAGAACGTCTGAGTATCATACATCCATGAATTGTGATTAACGCTCTCAGCATTATACATCCATGAATTGCGATAACGGTCTGAGTAACACACATCCATGAATTGTGTTAACGGTCTGAGTATCATACATCCATGAATTGTATTAACGGTCTGAGTATCATACATCCATGAATTGTATTAACGGTCTGAAAATCATACATCCATGAATTGTAATTAACGCTCTCAGCATTATACATCCATGAATTGCGATAACGGTCTGAGTAACACACATCCATGAATTGTGTTAACGGTCTGAGTAACATACATCCATGAATTGTGTTAACGGTCTGAGTATCATACATCCATGAATTGTATTAACGGTCTGAGTATCATACATCCATGAATTGTATTAACGGTCTGAAAATCATACATCCATGAATTGTAATTAACGCTCTCAGCATTATACATCCATGAATTGTGATTAACGGTCTGAGTATCATACATCCATGAATTGTGATTAACGCTCTCAGCATTATACATCCATGAATTGTGATAACGGTCTGAGTAACACACATCCATGAATTGTGTTAACTGTCTGAGTATCATACATCCATGAATTGTATTAACGGTCTGAGTATCATACATCCATGAATTGTATTAACGGTCTGAAAATCATACATCCATGAATTGTGTTAACGCTCTGAGTATCATACATCCATGAATTGTATTAACGGTCTGAGTATCATACATCCATGAATTGTATTAACGGTCTGAAAATCATACATCCATGAATTGTAATTAACGCTCTCAGCATTATACATCCATGAATTGCGATAACGGTCTGAGTATCATACATCCATGAATTGTATTAACGGTCTGAAAATCATACATCCATGAATTGTAATTAACGCTCTCAGCATTATACATCCATGAATTGTGATAACGGTCTGAGTAACACACATCCATGAATTGTGTTAACGGTCTGAGTAACATACATCCATGAATTGTGTTAACGGTCTGAGTATCATACATCCATGAATTGTATTAACGGTCTGAGTATCATACATCCATGAATTGTATTAACGGTCTGAAAATCATACATCCATGAATTGTAATTAACGCTCTCAGCATTATACATCCATGAATTGTGATAACGTCTGAGTATCATACATCCATGAATTGTGATTAACGCTCTCAGCATTATACATCCATGAATTGCGATAACGGTCTGAGTAACACACATCCATGAATTGTGTTAACGGTCTGAGTATCATACATCCATGAATTGTATTAACGGTCTGAGTATCATACATCCATGAATTGTATTAACGGTCTGAAAATCATACATCCATGAATTGTAATTAACGCTCTCAGCATTATACATCCATGAATTGTGTTAACGGTCTGAGTATCATACATCCATGAATTGTATTAACGGTCTGAAATCATACATCCATGAATTGTATTAACGGTCTGAAAATCATACATCCATGAATTGTATTAACGCTCTCAGCATTATACATCCATGAATTGCGATAACGGTCTGAGTAACACACATCCATGAATTGTGTTAACGGTCTGAGTATCATACATCCATGAATTGTATTAACGGTCTGAGTATCATACATCCATGAATTGTATTAACGGTCTGAAAATCATACATCCATGAATTGTAATTAACGCTCTCAGCATTATACATCCATGAATTGTATTAACGGTCTGAAAATCATACATCCATGAATTGTAATTAACGCTCTCAGCATTATACATCCATGAATTGCGATAACGGTCTGAGTAACACACATCCATGAATTGTGTTAACGGTCTGAGTATCATACATCCATGAATTGTATTAACGGTCTGAAAATCATACATCCATGAATTGTAATTAACGCTCTCAGCATTATACATCCATGAATTGTAATAACGGTCTGAGTAACACACATCCATGAATTGTGTTAACGGTCTGAGTAACACACATCCATGAATTGTGTTAACGGTCTGAGTATCATACATCCATGAATTGTATTAACGGTCTGAGAATCATACATCCATGAATTGTAATTAACGCTCTCAGCATTATACATCCATGAATTGTGTTAACGGTCTGAGTATCATACATCCATGAATTGTATTAACGGTCTGAAAATCATACATCCATGAATTGTATTAACGGTCTGAGAATCATACATCCATGAATTGTAATTAACGGTCTCAGCATTATACATCCATGAATTGTAATTAACGCTCTCAGCATTATACATCCATGAATTGTGATAACGGTCTGAGTACACACATCCATGAATTGTGTTAACGGTCTGAGTATCATACATCCATGAATTGTATTAACGGTCTGAAAATCATACATCCATGAATTGTAATTAACGCTCTCAGCATTATACATCCATGAATTGCGATAACGGTCTGATAACACACATCCATGAATTGTGTTAACGGTCTGAGTAACATACATCCATGAATTGTGTTAACGGTCTGAGTATCATACATCCATGAATTGTATTAACGGTCTGAGAATCATACATCCATGAATTGTAATTAACGCTCTCAGCATTATACATCCATGAATTGTGATAACGTCTGAGTATCATACATCCATGAATTGTGATTAACGCTCTCAGCATTATACATCCATGAATTGCGATAACGGTCTGAGTAACACACATCCATGAATTGTGTTAACGGTCTGAGTATCATACATCCATGAATTGTATTAACGGTCTGAGTATCATACATCCATGAATTGTATTAACGGTCTGAAAATCATACATCCATGAATTGTAATTAACGCTCTCAGCATTATACATCCATGAATTGTGTTAACGGTCTGAGTATCATACATCCATGAATTGTATTAACGGTCTGAGAATCATACATCCATGAATTGTATTAACGGTCTGAAAATCATACATCCATGAATTGTAATTAACGCTCTCAGCATTATACATCCATGAATTGTGAATTAACGCTCTCAGCATTACACATCCATGAATTGTGTTAACGGTCTGAGTAACATACATCCATGAATTGTGTTAACGGTCTGAGTATCATACATCCATGAATTGTATTAACGGTCTGAGAATCATACATCCATGAATTGTAATTAACGCTCTCAGCATTATACATCCATGAATTGTGATAACGTCTGAGTATCATACATCCATGAATTGTGATTAACGCTCTCAGCATTACACATCCATGAATTGCGATAACGGTCTGAGTAACATACATCCATGAATTGTGTTAACGGTCTGAGAATCATACATCCATGAATTGTATTAACGGTCTGAAAATCATACATCCATGAATTGTAATTAACGCTCTCAGCATTATACATCCATGAATTGCGATAACGGTCTGAGTAACACACATCCATGAATTGTGTTAACGGTCTGAGTATCATACATCCATGAATTGTATTAACGGTCTGAGTATCATACATCCATGAATTGTATTAACGGTCTGAGAATCATACATCCATGAATTGTAATTAACGCTCTCAGCATTATACATCCATGAATTGTGATAACGTCTGAGTATCATACATCCATGAATTGTGATTAACGCTCTCAGCATTATACATCCATGAATTGCGATAACGGTCTGAGTAACACACATCCATGAATTGTGTTAACGGTCTGAGTATCATACATCCATGAATTGTATTAACGGTCTGAGTATCATACATCCATGAATTGTATTAACGGTCTGAAAATCATACATCCATGAATTGTAATTAACGCTCTCAGCATTATACATCCATGAATTGCGATAACGGTCTGAGTAACACACATCCATGAATTGTGTTAACGGTCTGAGTAACATACATCCATGAATTGTGTTAACGGTCTGAGTATCATACATCCATGAATTGTATTAACGGTCTGAGTATCATACATCCATGAATTGTATTAACGGTCTGAAAATCATACATCCATGAATTGTATTAACGCTCTCAGCATTATACATCCATGAATTGTGATTAACGTCTGAGTATCATACATCCATGAATTGTGATTAACGCTCTCAGCATTATACATCCATGAATTGCGATAACGGTCTGAGTAACACACATCCATGAATTGTGTTAACGGTCTGAGTATCATACATCCATGAATTGTATTAACGGTCTGAGTATCATACATCCATGAATTGTATTAACGGTCTGAGAATCATACATCCATGAATTGTGTTAACGCTCTGAGTATCATACATCCATGAATTGTATTAACGGTCTGAGTATCATACATCCATGAATTGTATTAACGGTCTGAAAATCATACATCCATGAATTGTAATTAACGCTCTGAGCATTATACATCCATGAATTGTGATAACGGTCTGAGTATCATACATCCATGAATTGTATTAACGGTCTGAAAATCATACATCCATGAATTGTAATTAACGCTCTCAGCATTATACATCCATGAATTGCGATAACGGTCTGAGTAACACACATCCATGAATTGTGTTAACGGTCTGAGTAACATACATCCATGAATTGTGTTAACGGTCTGAGTATCATACATCCATGAATTGTATTAACGGTCTGAGTATCATACATCCATGAATTGTATTAACGGTCTGAAAATCATACATCCATGAATTGTAATTAACGCTCTCAGCATTATACATCCATGAATTGTGATAACGGTCTGAGCATCATACATCCATGAATTGTGATTAACGCTCTCAGCATTATACATCCATGAATTGCGATAACGGTCTGAGTAACACACATCCATGAATTGTGTTAACGGTCTGAGTATCATACATCCATGAATTGTATTAACGGTCTGAGTATCATACATCCATGAATTGTATTAACGGTCTGAAAATCATACATCCATGAATTGTAATTAACGCTCTCAGCATTATACATCCATGAATTGTGTTAACGGTCTGAGTATCATACATCCATGAATTGTATTAACGGTCTGAGAATCATACATCCATGAATTGTATTAACGGTCTGAAAATCATACATCCATGAATTGTAATTAACGCTCTCAGCATTATACATCCATGAATTGCGATAACGGTCTGAGTAACACACATCCATGAATTGTGTTAACGGTCTGAGTATCATACATCCATGAATTGTATTAACGGTCTGAGTATCATACATCCATGAATTGTATTAACGGTCTGAAAATCATACATCCATGAATTGTAATTAACGCTCTCAGCATTATACATCCATGAATTGTATTAACGGTCTGAGAATCATACATCCATGAATTGTAATTAACGCTCTCAGCATTATACATCCATGAATTGCGATAACGGTCTGAGTACACACATCCATGAATTGTGTTAACGGTCTGAGTATCATACATCCATGAATTGTATTAACGGTCTGAGAATCATACATCCATGAATTGTAATTAACGCTCTCAGCATTATACATCCATGAATTGTGATAACGGTCTGATAACATACATCCATGAATTGTGTTAACGGTCTGAGTAACACATCCATGAATTGTGTTAACGGTCTGAGTATCATACATCCATGAATTGTATTAACGGTCTGAGAATCATACATCCATGAATTGTAATTAACGCTCTCAGCATTATACATCCATGAATTGTGTTAACGGTCTGAGTATCATACATCCATGAATTGTATTAACGGTCTGAAAATCATACATCCATGAATTGTATTAACGGTCTGAGAATCATACATCCATGAATTGTAATTAACGCTCTGAGCATCATACATCCATGAATTGTAATTAACGCTCTCAGCATACATCCATGAATTGTGTTAACGGTCTGAGTATCATACATCCATGAATTGTGTTAACGGTCTGAGCATCATACATCCATGAATTGTATTAACGGTCTGAGAATCATACATCCATGAATTGTGTTAACGGTCTGAGCATCATACATCCATGAATTGTATTAACGGTCTGAATCATACATCCATGAATTGTGATTAACGCTCTCAGCATTATACATCCATGAATTGCGATAACGGTCTGAGTAACACACATCCATGAATTGTGTTAACGGTCTGAGAATCATACATCCATGAATTGTATTAACGGTCTGAAAATCATACATCCATGAATTGTAATTAACGCTCTCAGCATTATACATCCATGAATTGCGATAACGGTCTGAGTAACACACATCCATGAATTGTGTTAACGGTCTGAGTATCATACATCCATGAATTGTATTAACGGTCTGAGTATCATACATCCATGAATTGTATTAACGGTCTGAAAATCATACATCCATGAATTGTAATTAACGCTCTCAGTATTATACATCCATGAATTGTGATAACGGTCTGAGTATCATACATCCATGAATTGTGATTAACGCTCTCAGCATTATACATCCATGAATTGCGATAACGGTCTGAGTACATCCATGAATTGTGTTAACGCTCTGAGTATCATACATCCATGAATTGTATTAACGGTCTGAGTATCATACATCCATGAATTGTATTAACGGTCTGAAAATCATACATCCATGAATTGTAATTAACGCTCTCAGCATTATACATCCATGAATTGCGATAACGGTCTGAGTAACACACATCCATGAATTGTGTTAACGGTCTGAGTAACATACATCCATGAATTGTGTTAACGGTCTGAGTATCATACATCCATGAATTGTATTAACGGTCTGAGTATCATACATCCATGAATTGTATTAACGGTCTGAAAATCATACATCCATGAATTGTAATTAACGCTCTCAGCATTATACATCCATGAATTGTGAGAACGTCTGAGTATCATACATCCATGAATTGTGATTAACGCTCTCAGCATTACATCCATGAATTGCGATAACGGTCTGAGTAACACACATCCATGAATTGTGTTAACGGTCTGAGTATCATACATCCATGAATTGTATTAACGGTCTGAGTATCATACATCCATGAATTGTATTAACGGTCTGAAAATCATACATCCATGAATTGTAATTAACGCTCTCAGCATTATACATCCATGAATTGTGTTAACGGTCTGAGTATCATACATCCATGAATTGTATTAACGGTCTGAGAATCATACATCCATGAATTGTATTAACGGTCTGAAAATCATACATCCATGAATTGTAATTAACGCTCTCAGCATTATACATCCATGAATTGCGATAACGGTCTGAGTAACACACATCCATGAATTGTGTTAACTGTCTGAGTATCATACATCCATGAATTGTATTAACGGTCTGAGTATCATACATCCATGAATTGTATTAACGGTCTGAAAATCATACATCCATGAATTGTAATTAACGCTCTCAGCATTATACATCCATGAATTGTGAGAACGTCTGAGTATCATACATCCATGAATTGTGATTAACGCTCTCAGCATTATACATCCATGAATTGCGATAACGGTCTGAGTAACACACATCCATGAATTGTGTTAACGGTCTGAGTATCATACATCCATGAATTGTATTAACGGTCTGAGTATCATACATCCATGAATTGTATTAACGGTCTGAAAATCATACATCCATGAATTGTAATTAACGCTCTCAGCATTATACATCCATGAATTGTGATAACGGTCTGAGTATCATACATCCATGAATTGTATTAACGGTCTGAAAATCATACATCCATGAATTGTATTAACGCTCTCAGCATTATACATCCATGAATTGTGATAACGGTCTGAGTAACACACATCCATGAATTGTGTTAACGGTCTGAGTAACATACATCCATGAATTGTGTTAACGGTCTGAGTATCATACATCCATGAATTGTGTTAACGGTCTGAGTATCATACATCCATGAATTGTATTAACGGTCTGAAAATCATACATCCATGAATTGTAATTAACGCTCTCAGCATTATACATCCATGAATTGTGAGAACGTCTGAGTATCATACATCCATGAATTGTGATTAACGCTCTCAGCATTACATCCATGAATTGCGATAACGGTCTGAGTAACACACATCCATGAATTGTGTTAACGGTCTGAGTATCATACATCCATGAATTGTATTAACGGTCTGAGTATCATACATCCATGAATTGTATTAACGGTCTGAAAATCATACATCCATGAATTGTAATTAACGCTCTCAGCATTATACATCCATGAATTGTGATAACGGTCTGAGTATCATACATCCATGAATTGTGATTAACGTCTGAGCATCATACATCCATGAATTGTATTAACGGTCTGAGTATCATACATCCATGAATTGTGTTAACGGTCTGAGAATCATACATCCATGAATTGTATTAACGGTCTGAAAATCATACATCCATGAATTGTAATTAACGCTCTCAGCATTATACATCCATGAATTGCGATAACGGTCTGAGTAACACACATCCATGAATTGTGTTAACGGTCTGAGTATCATACATCCATGAATTGTATTAACGGTCTGAGTATCATACATCCATGAATTGTATTAACGGT